TACTGTTGGTTATATTGAATATTTGTGTTGATTAAATTAGCATCTATTTATAAACTTCTGTAACAAAATGTTAAACATCCTTTTACACTAATTGCTGGTATTAAAAATATTTCCAATCACAAGTTGTTACAAAACCAGATGTAACTGTGAAGGTGTAATAGATTGTTGTCCCGATTTCAGAATATCTTTGAAGATTAACAAGTTCCGATCAGATCAGGCTTAATACTTGTACTTTATGTATTCGCTCACTCATGAGACAAGAGAGCTTCACAAAAGCAAACTAGTCTTATTCCTGGAGCAGGTCGTGCTAGTAATCAATATTAACTTACGATCAGGTCAGGTTACTTTCTTACATTATGTATTCGCTTACTCACAAGACAGAATAAATAGTATGTTACAGCCACAATGTCTTTACAATGTATCACTTTAGACAGAATGGCCAATGATTTTCACAGGTTTAGTGACGGGCCTTTCCATCAACATGCTCTGTTCGGGTTGAAGTAAGCGTTGTGAATGACCTATGAGTTTAGGGCAGTGGTTTTCATATCATGTTCGGTGGAAACCCGGGGTTGCGCGAAGGATAATCAGGGGTTCCCACAAATATAATGGATAATGGCGTTTTTTTTCTCTTCTATTTCTTGAGTGTTAATCCGTCACGAACTAAATGCACTTTTAAATAAATATTGTTACGTATATAAATTTGTCTGTGTATATGTACGTATGATAAAATAGGAAGAAGACACGACTTCCATGATGGAGGAAATGAAATATGAACATTATAAGTTTTTTTTCAAGTTTGAAAACCACTGGTCTATATGGCATATTTGAGCAAAAAATCGGAACGTTCTAACCTACAGAACTTGGCCCTTTTCAGTGGTTATATAACACACTACTTCAAAAATGTTCAACCCATTGAATAAGTGCGGGTTTCATCATGCGTATAAGGCAGGTTTTAAAGAACCTGAAACCGTTACTAGGCATTCTTCACCAGTGTTGAGTCGTACGTTTATGAAGAGAGTTTTCAACACGCTCATTGTATTGAATACAACAAACAGTCGGGTGTCTGTTTCCTATCCATTGCTCTTACCATATTCTTTTAACAGCCATGTATTCTAAGAATGCTTAACCTTTAATAGCTTAGTATTCTAATAACCCTTGCCGTGTTTTATTAACACCCAGGCATTCTAATAACCCTTACCATGTTCCATTAACAGGTTAGTATTCTAACAACGTTTACCGTGTTCTATTAACAGCAGAGTATTATAATAACCTTTACCGTGTTCTATTAAAACTATTTGTTCTAATTTCGCTTAACGTATTGTTTTAACACCCAGCCATTCTAATAACCTTTATCATATTCTATTAATAGTTTAGTGTTCTAATAACCTTCACCGTGTTTTATTAACAACTAAATGTTTTTAGTTTCGCTCTAAGTAAGTAGCTGGCTCTGATCTGAAGTTAATATTATTAACTCTTACCGTACATTTTTAACGGCCAAGCATTATAAGATACTTTAACGTGTTCTATTAACAACCAGGTATTCTAAAACCCTTATCATATTCTATGAACAACCTATACTGTACGTTATTAGTAGCTAAACAGGTTTTCTAACAATCCATACCTTATTCTATTAACAGTTAACCGTGTATTCTAACAATCTATACCACATTCTATTAACAGTTAACCAGGTATTCTATTGGCTATGTAGCATGAAATAAGGGCAGTTAGCAATCCTTATGTCTCTTGGATACGTGCTTGAAGATTTAATGAAGCTAATTGTCTGAAAGAAAAAAACCTACTGCCCTTGCCAGGATCTACATGTCTTGCGTGCTTTCTATCTTTTTAACAGCGTAATGAGGCTCCTTATATCAGTTCCTTCAAGCAGGTGTGTGCAATAAGTCTTACAGCTGAATTTAGAACCCGTCTATCCTTGTTTTCAACTATTAATCATATCACTTTAACAATGTAATGAACTGCCTTAGAAGTGGCGATGATAACTTTAACAATGTAATGAACTGCCTTAGAAGTGGCGATGATAACTTTAACAATGTAATGAACTGCCTTAGAAGTAATAATGATAACTTTAAAAATGTAGTGAACTGCCTTAGAAGTGGCGATGATAACTTTAACAATGTAATGAACTGCCTTAAAAGTAGCAATGATAAATTTAACAATGTAGTGAAATACCTCAGCAGTAGTGTTGATAATAACTTTAACAATGTAGTGAAGTGCCTCAGCAGTAGTGCTGATAATAAATTTAACAATGAAGTGAACTGCCTCAGCAGTAGTGTTGATAATAAACCTTTCGTGTACCAGAGTACTAGCAGATCTACTTGCAGGGTTAACATAAACACCTTATTCTTTACAAAACTAGTCTTAAAATAACATATTCATTTTTGAACAAAATTTCTGTTATATTTGATTAGGTCACAAACAATATAAATGCTATATAGCATTCAGGGAAAAACCTGGTTAAATAATTTTAAGCAAAAACATTGATAAAAGAAGAGAAACAGTTGTATATTTAAAAACAAAACTCATTCTAAAGCACCCTTGACTTCCTAGTTATGTTTGTGTGCTTATTTCACCAGGGAAGATTGATGAAACAGTACTTATATTCCACAATAAATCCACAGACTGCCTTATCTACTTGCTGCAGTTGGTTGTTCTGAATGTTTATCCGTTATCAAGTTGCAGCAGTTGGTTGTTCTGTATATTTACCCGTTATCAAGTTGTAGCAGTTTGATTGTTCTGTATGTTTACCCGTTATCAAGTTGTAGCAATTTGATTGTTCTGCATGTTTACCCGTTATCAAGTTGCAGTAGTTTGATTGTTCTGAATGTTTATCCGTTATCAAGTTGTAGCAGTTTGATTGTTCTGCATGTTTACCCGTTATCAAGTTGCAGCAATTTGATTGTTCTGAATGTTTATCCGTTATCAAGTTGTAGCAATTTGATTGTTCTGCATGTTTACCCGTTATCAAGTTGTAGCAGTTTGATTGTTCTGTATGTTTACCCGTTATCAAGTTGCAACAGTTTGATTGTTCTGAATGTTTATCCGTTATCAAGTTGTAGCAATTTGATTGTTCTGCATGTTTACCCGTTATAAAGTTGCAGCAGTTTGATTGTTCTGTATGTTTACCCGTTATCAAGTTGCAGTAGTTTGATTGTTCTGAATGTTTATCCGCTATCAAGTTGTAGCAGTTTGATTGTTCTGAAAGTTATTGTTTAAATTCAGTTAGTAACATAATTATAGATAAAACAAAAAATAAGTTAGGATTGTTAGTACAAAGTTCATTAGAGACGATCCTTGTACAGATTAGAACAGGAACATTTTACTTGAAGTTAGGATTGTTAGTACAAAGTTCATTAGAGAAGATCCTTGTACAGATTAGAACAGGAACATTTTACTTGAAGCAAGGATTGTTAGTACAAAGTTCATTAGAGAAGATCCTTGTACAGATTAGAACAGGAACATTTTACTTGAAGTTAGGATTGTTAGTACAAAGTTCATTAGAGACGATACTTGTCCAGATTAGAACAGGAACATTTTACTTGAAGTTAGGATTGTTAGTACAAAGTTCATTAGAGACGATACTTGTCCAGATTAGAACAGGAACATTTTACTTGAAGTTAGGATTGTTAGTACAAAGTTCATT